TGTGTGTGTGTGTGTGTGTGTGTGTGTGTCCTGTGATGTACCCCGCCTTGTGCCCGTTGCTTGCTGGGATAGACTGAGGTGCTAGTTACCGTGGCAACATCACAGATCCTGGCTCGGGTCTGGACCAGCTCCTCCTGCAGCACGGCCTGCTGGGAGATGACCCCTTCCGGACCCCTGACCCCCTCCTGACCCCCCCACTCCTCCAGCTGCAGTCGGGTCATCTCCAGGGTGCACTGCAGGCTGTCCTGGGAGAGAGAGGAGGGGGGTGACCCGTGAGGACAGGGTGTCCTGACCACTGAGGTGAGCGCGTGTGTCTTTCAGGGCTGAGAACAAGCTGGCTCGGTCGTACAGGGGTGCTGTCTGGACCTCGGACCCTCAGAGACCGACCCCCTTCTCCTGCTGCTCTGGTGTGACAGAGAGCCTTCCTCCGACTTCCTTCCTCTTCGGATCGAAAACTCCAGACTCACCAGGGAGCTTATGTCTGACTGTCTTAGTTCATCCTACGTGTTCTTGTTTCATTATTATTATTATCATCATCATCATATCCTGAGGGACAGCAAGTGGAGGTGTTGTAGTGTGCTGCTCCCCTCTGTGTTGTACTGTACGCCTCTGCCACTGGAGAAACACCTACAGTCGCTCCCTGAACTACATTCCCCACGAGGCACTTGCCCGGTCCCCACCCGGCTGCAGGAGGAAGGTGTGCCGCAAGGCACCGTGGGAGTTGTATGCTTCTGCGCCCTCACCTTGTCCGCTCGAAGCTGGGCCATCTCGATGGCCAGAGACTGGAGAAGCTTATCGCAGCCACACAGCCTGGTCAACACGGCCTGGAGACAGCAGTCCGGCAGGCAGGGAAGCGAGAGAGAGGGTCAGGGTTCGTTTCATGTGACATAACCACACGGATTCGGAGGCCCGGCTCGTGTCTCAACAACCTCTGACCCCACCACCCCTTGACCTCCGACCCTCCCGCCCCCTGACCTCCGACCCACTCCAGCTCCACAGCACCGGCCGAAGGCACCGTGGGCCTGCCGGGGACACTCTCTCGTGGGGGGCCCAGAGGTCCACGGCCCACAGACATCGGAAGCCGCGATTGTCCGGTTATTCCGATTGTTTTCCGATTTCCATGATTTTCCAAACCAGCATCACTAACCCCCCCCACCCCCATCCCTCAGCGATCAACACTCCTCCCCCTGCCCCCTTGTCCTCGCCTGCCCAGCGACTGACTCACATCGGCCTTGCTCTCGGGCCCTCTGATTGGCTGGTGCTCTGTCTCCTGGTAGAGGTCGGAGGTCACGGGCTGCGGAGGAGAAAGCCAATGGGCCGGAAGAGTGAGAGGAAGGGAGGGGCCACAGTGCTTGTGTGAGAGTGTGCGAGTGTGACAACGTGTGAGCTGAGTGTGTCTGAGGCGTGTGCGAGTTTGAGCAAGTGTGAGCTGTACGAGTGTGTGTGAGTGTGAGCTGTACGAGTGAGTGTGAGCTGAGTGTGTGAGCGAGTATGAGCTGTAGGAGTGTGTGTGAGTGTGAGCTGTAGGAGTGTGTGTGAGTGTGAGCTGTAGGAGTGTGTGTGAGTGTGACCTGTATGAGTGTGTGTGAGTGTGAGCTGTAGGAGTGTGTGAGTGTGAGCTGTATGAGTGTGTGTGAGTATGAGCTGTAGGAGTGTGTGTGAGTGTGAGCTGTATGAGCGAGTGTGAGCTGTACGAGTGTGTGTGAGTGTGAGCTGAGTATATGTGTGAGCTGTAGGAGTGTGTGTGAGTGTGAGCTGTATGAG